GTTTCACAGAGGGTAGTGCATTCTTGACAGAATGTCTTACAGGCCAGGAAGGGGTTAAATTACAGTTCAATGCCAAAGAACTGCAGTGAATGCTCAAAACTTCAAAGAATTTCACACCAGTGTTAATTACTTTGGAAGGGGGGGGGGGGGGCAGTCACCATACTTAGATCGATCTATCAGGATTGATCCATTTCCAAGGGGTTTCTCGCTATATTGCTTTCAGCTTAAGCAGCTTAGATATCTGGCACGCCTACTGAAGCTGCTAGACGATAATTAATTACCCCCTTGCATCTTCAGTAGGCATGACAGACATCTAATTAAGCTGCTTATTGTTGATTGCAATTTAGCGAGAATCCCCTTGGAGATAGATCGATCCTCAGTTAGTACCATAGGGTCTGAGAATGGTCCCATATGCTTTCATTTCACACAATAAAACTGTCCCTTCCTGTGATTACATATAATGGGCACAGCAGAAATAGATGTTCTTAAAAGGAGAAAGGATTGTGCTGGAAGTGCGCAACATATGACATCGAGAGTTGTAAGACATGAAGCTGCTTGGTCATTTTTAGCTGAAAGTACACAACAGTGTGAAGTTGTAGCAGATTTTCTGACGGCATGGTAAGATAATATTTTTGTCTTTCTACATTTTGAGCAGAAAATACAGTACTTGTAGAAATACGGGGAATTTGATATGAAAGTGTATCACAAAGCTTGAAGTTGCAAAATTGTGCTTCTATGCTGTCAGAAAATCTGCTTCAACTTCACACTCACGGCTCTATTCTCATGTACTTCCAGCTAAAAATGACCAGGCAGCTTCATGTCTTACACCACTCGACGTCATATGACGCACACTTCCGGTATAATCCTTTTTCCTCCGGTTCCCTTTATTGACCATGCTGTGCGTGTTAAATTTGTCTGAATCAATTAAATTTTTCTACTGTAAGTTTAAAAGCATACTCGCCTTTTTTCGTAATGTAATAGTTGATAAAAACGCAATTAATGAAATATTATGCAGCTATAACCCACCTTGCTTGTTTAATATCAGACAGTCCCCCTCGCTTCATCCAGTGCGCCACAAACAGCACCACAAAATGCTTTGGTTGAGACATGGACTATCTTGAATAGTTTTGACAGACTAATGAGAGGTGCTGCCACCTTCTGTAAACAAACGGCACTCTTCAGCCTATGGAGAGTCATATTCAACATCATGTGATAGAACTCTGATATTGAAAACGATGTATAGTCATAGTGATCTGTCAGGAAGTCGCGGTTTGAAATTAATGTAAATCGAAAACGGTATTATTCGGAAGGACAATGCATGACGCATATGAACCTGCTCCGATCCTTGAAAAACTGCCACTGAGCATCGAATCCATCGCTTCTTATGGTAAGCTTGTCACAGTGTCACCCTCGCCTTCTAACACACTGTCAGTGTCACAATCACAGTCAAGCCTGTGACTGTGTTTATCATCCCCCCCCCCCCCCTCTGCTCTTCTTGATATCCTGGATACGACAGTGGTATAACAGCTAAATCACCTAAGTGCTTGTGAGGTAAATTTCTCGACTAATTTTACTATCCAGTAATGGGCATGATTGACTTAGAAATACTGGTACAAAGGTAGCACTGGTGCAACAATACTACTCTCTACCAGGGTTGCTTATTTTATTAGGTTGAGAATTTTCCCTGACCTGACCTAGTAACTTGATAATGTAATTAAACTTGAGATTTCTTCACAGGGTCACAGTGCAGAGAATTACTGTCAATTTAACCAGAGACATATCTGTAAATATCAAGTGAAAAATCAGTCTGTGGCCCTGGTAGAGGGTACTAACAATACTGTTTGGCAATATCAGATATAATTGTATCTGTATAGTACTCAGGTATGTTTACAAACCAATGTCATTTGCTAAAAGTATAATTGACTATGGTTAGTTTAATTTTCAATAGATCATTGTTGTTATTATTTATTTATTAATTTTTTGTTTTATCATTTTCATTTTGCAGAGGATGTTCTGTTGGTTGGGACAAAACAGGGACATTTGCTAGTATATTCTGTGAAATCCACAGGCTCAGGTATTGCTTTTTGTAATCAAGTGAGAGTCATAATATGGACAGACAAGGACCCAAACTTTGTCTTCTTCTTTTTTTTTTCACTTTAACATCAACTTAATGACCAATGCTTAGTGTTTAATGAATGTAGAACCTTTGAAACATATGCAAAAAGTTCCTTTCACAATTAATGAGAATCAATTATTATGGTGGTCGTACATGAATGATGATAGTAACAGACATGATATTTAAAAATAGTCTGAAATTCATCTTATCATTTAGAGACAAGATTTGATGTCTCCCTGGAAAGGTCCAACAAGTCCTTCTCAAGGAAACCTATACAGCAGGTGAGTAGCTACAATTTTCCTTAATAATTCTAAAAGTGCTTATGAATGTATCACAAAAAATAATAAAGCTTGGTACTATTCACAGTTAAAACAAATGTAGATTCTTATACAGACATTTACCTGTGCCAATTTTTTTATACCATATAACAGAAAATCAGTATGGCTTAGGTTAGTCTTGTTCACACCTTGGTGTTACTACCTTTTGATGTGCCTCAGTACCTTTTATACTCATGTGTCCTGGACATAAGACTTAGTGTTCTATCACCCAGGGTTGATTGCTGCAGTAAATTAGTCACATTCATTTGTACAGTAGCTTAAAGCCAAATATACTTGCTAAAGTAATATAAGTAATATCATGTTCATACGTGACTTGTAACTGACAGGAAATTAGGTTTCGATAAGATCTAATTGAGGCTGTCACATTTTTCATTTTACTTCAACAATCACCCCAAATAAACCATATAAAATATGGAAATTGAAATAGAGCATAAGGATAAAAAAGGGACAGTGGGTTATTGGGACATAACCCTCTTGGCTGTATGAAGTTTGTCAGTATCTGATATCTGCCCTACGAAAAAGCCAAAAAGCAGAGAATTATGCCCAGAATCAAATTTGTGCTTGATGTACACATCCTAACTTGGTTATCACCAGTCATTATTGTCCCAAAACTAATTCCAAACATTAACGAAAGCTTTTTTCCAGGCAATATCAATTGATTACTATTGTAAAATGTAATACAATACAGGAAGGAAAATTTGCCTGTATTTCAGGGGCCGATCCAGAGATATTTTCTGACAGTCTTTCAAATTATACTTGTTGATCCATCCTCCATTTTTGTCCGTCTTTTGACAGACAAAATTAGATACCCATAAATGTAAACTTGAAAATCTGTCCGTCTTCCGGAAGACCTAGAAGACAGCCTAAATCTGCCCCTGTATTTGAAATGCAATACATTTTATTTTTTTCAGCTGTCTGCTGTTCCAGAATGCAGTGTTTTAATTAGCCTGTCTGATAACACTGTTAGTGTCCATGATCTGACTGTGTTTAATCAGATTACATGTGTTAAAAAAACAGCAGGTGCCTCTTTATTTGCCATAGACTTACAGGTAAGGAGAGCAGGGGACATGTGATATCTGAATTTGAAAGTATAATGCTCTACAAATTAAATTTTTAAGTGTTTCTTGTTGTCAGTCTAAAAATTAGTGGTACACAGTTCATTCTTTTTTAGAAACATGTCTCACCAAAAAAATTGAAAAGGAAAAAAGGTAATAATCTGGTTGATATAAGCAACAAAATACTGGAAGCAAAATGTTAGAGATTAAAAAGAAGTGCATCTCTTATTGAATAATCATTTTAGTTTAAAACCACCATGAGTAGTAATTATAAATAAATTATAAATAAATTAAATATGTATATACGCTCAGTTTCCTTCAGGGTTTGCTTATTATAATAATAAATACTTTTCTGGTTGCAGAAATTAGTTGGTGAATGAATAAACAAGAAATAAAATACTGAGTGAATAAAATTTTTCAAAAAAAATGAGAAAAATTCTAAATCCAAAAAAAAATAAAAAAAAAAAAAAAAAAAAAAAAAAAAAAAAAAAAAAAAAAAAAAAAAAAAAAAAAAAAAAAAACACTGGAAACATGAATGTTTTCTTTTAGAATGTCCAGTTGACTTATATTTGTGACGAATGTTGATTAGCATTGGTGTTTTGATTGTAATAAGATAGCCAGTTATTTGGTCTGGTGAGTGAAAAAAAATAGAAGAGGAAAGAAAAAGTAACGGGCTCGTCCGGGATTTGAACCCGGGACCTCTCGCACCCAAAGCGAGAATCATACCCCTAGACCAACGAGCCATGTTGAAGGAAGAGGGTAAACAATGGGTCATATATTGGAGGAGATGCCTTTATTATTCACGGAAGATCTAAGTGATGTTTTATTTTTTGTTTCAGTGAATTTTTTTACGCAAATTTAATATTAATAAGAAAATAACACCATTTGAATCTGTGAATTATGCTGCCAAATCCACATGTAAAATTTTGTCCTTGCAGCAGGTGCGCTATTTACGGAAACGAGGCTCGTGTTTAGAGGAATGCTTGTTTTGTTTTGAACTTTCCAGTTCGACCACCTGAAATACCCTGTGTCTACACGAGCTTTGAAACAAATACATTTTCTTATTGATGATTTTTACATCAAACCTACATGTTATTCTCAGTATAATTTTCATTGTTTTGCAATTTTGAGTGACCTGTGTGAATAATCTCCAAACATGACGTCATCGCACGTGCTGACATCTTTCGTTAAGGAAGCGAATCGGATAAATTTTAACAAAATTTTGTCGAAATAATGCTCTTTAGATAATATTACGCGTTTTCAAGGATGATACTCTGTCAATTATTATTCTTAAGTGTCAAAACTATACTCGATGGTGACCAAATTTATACTAATTGAACTGATGCGAAGTTGCTGTTCTTATTCTATTAATTGAAGTCGGGGAACATATGTGGCTCGTTGGTCTAGGGGTATGATTCTCGCTTAGGGTGCGAGAGGTCCCGGGTTCAATTCCCGGACGAGCCCTTGTCCTTTTTTTTCTGCCTTCAAATTGTTTAACGTTTATGTGTGTTCTTGGAAGCAGTGAAAATGTAATGAACCGGACAACGTGCTAGTATTTTGCAGAAAAAATGAAATAAGGGAAATACAAAGTGTTCTTGGAAATGTATGCATTTTCCAAAACTTATGCAATCCAGTTAATATAAATACCTTTTTAGTGGTATGCACTCAAAAAGCACACTTATTTCCAGATATTGGACATACATGTATATTTGTATTGAATAAAATTGAAGTTTATTGATATATTTTGCCCTAACAGGTTATGGCCATACATGCTTGTTGGTTTTATTGCCCAGACATTTTTATAATGTGATTAGGAAAATGAAGTTAAAGAAATTAATTTGGTATTTCAGAAGGAAACTTCACTTACAGGAGATGTAAAACATACACTCAGAATGTGTGTAGCAGTTAGGAGAAAATTGCAATTGTTTTATTGGAAGAACCGAGATTTCTATGAGTTACAGGTAAACTGCTCTGTTCTCTCTCTCTCTCTCTCTCTCTCTCTCTCTCTCTCTCTCTCTCTCTCTCTCTCTCTCTCTATATATATATATATATATACAGGGGTATATATATATATATATATTATAAATTGATATACATGGTATTTTTTTATAAATTTAAAAGATATTAGAAGAGTTATTAGATAAATATGTGTATATTAAATCATTATCATTTGAATTCTTAAAGTTTGTATCTTACTTGTTCAAGTTCAAGTTCATTTTTGCCATATTTGCAGATTGACCTGAGTGTTCCTGACATTCCTAAAGCCATGGCTTGGTGCAAGGATTCCATTTGTGTGGGTTTCAAAAGAGACTATTTCCTTATTAAGGTACGACAGGTTTTTTTTTTTTTCATTCCCATTCTTAATGATTAGGGGCAGATTAAGATTCAGACATCAAACAGAATGTCCAAATTAATGACTCTAACCATAAATTAAGTATCTGAGCATGAATCAGTACTCAGTAAGCACAAGCACATCATTTTGGCACAAGAGCAGTTATGACTCTGTGTTCGTGTCTACAAATTATACTTAATTTGTGTCTCGAGTCAATAAGTTGGGCATTCATGCTCCCAAATCTAAAGCTCGTGCTAATGACAACAATTTTTGTTAATGAGGCCTAAGAGGAGAAATCTCATAAATTGTTTGATCTACATGCAGATAGCAATGTTGGGACATAACTGTAAATGTCTTATTGAAATACATGTAATAACAAAAAAGCATCAGTTTTTAAAAGTGTAAGATCCTGCACAGGAAGTAGATAAAACATTTCACTATTTTTTTTTTCAGGTTGAGTCTGGTGATTTGAAGGAGCTCTTCCCCACAGGTGCTCGTATGGAGCCTCTAGTCACCAAGCTGTCTGAAGACAGGCTAGCCCTGCAGAGAGATGACATGTCAGTTTTCATTAACTCAGAGGGAAATCCTGTTTTGAAATATGGTCTTAACTGGTCTGATATTCCAGCCATTATGGGTATGTTCAAATATGATGGGAACAGTTAATAAAATTTTTGTAGGGGTTGAACTCCCAGGATGTAGATACGTTGAGTATCATATTTAAAAACATTATGAATGCCTTAGTTGAAGCTTCAAACTGTATTTTTGAGGATATATCACTTATATACCTGCATTTAGATATGCATAATTTTTTATTTATTTTTTATTTATTAATTTTAATATATATATTTTTTTAATTAGAATGTAACAATGATTTTATCTTTCATCTAGAGCATCATCCTCCATACATCTTGGCAGTTCTTCCAAAATACATAGAGATCCGGACAATCAGTCCAAGGACACTCATCCAGCAGATTGAACTTAACAAGCCAAAATTCATTTGCAAAGGAAGGTAGGAACCAAAAATGGACTAAAGTTAAATAAATGTGGGCCATTCAGTTTATTTATATCAATAAAAAAGTTTTATTAAGTTTGAATTAAGCTTTACTAGTCCACTTTTATTCATGAAGTACAAGAATAAAGTCAAAAGTTTTTAATATGTCAGTTGATATTGCTATGTTTTTCATAACCAATTGCTAGAAATACTATTTCAAATATACTATCATTTAACACATAATGAAGAAATATTTATTAACTATAAAAATTGTATTTAGTTTTTAGCTAGTTTTCAAAATTATTTATTTATTTATTTATTTATTTATTTATTTATTTATTTATTTATTTATTTATTTATTTATTTTGCTATTTCCATGATAAACTGGCTAAAAACTGCTTGAAAGTAGATACCTTGTACATGTTTATACAATATACCTGTATAAATATAAATATATTTGAATGAAATTTGTAACATGTCATACCTCTATGAATATAAAAATATTTGAATTGAATTTATAACATATCAAGGTAGAATTTGTTGGGTCTTTCCTTCAGCCATGTGTATGTGGCATCTAGTAACTATGTGTGGAGATTGGCCCCCATTCCAATCACAAGGCAGATAGGGCAGCTGCTGGCACAGAAGGAGTTTGAATTGGCATTGGTGCTTGCTGTAAGTTTAGCTATATATTGTTAGTATTATTTCTTTACTTTTACTATATGATGGTAGCAGAGAAATAGAATGGGTGATGCAACACCCATAAATATGTTTGGCATAGAATATGGTATTTAAAAATTGTCTATTATAAAAGGCACATTGGACAAAAATTGTCAGAAAATACCTCATGCATGCATGCATGAAATAAATGTGCTTTCTATACACTAACCTTAGTTTCCAGTGTCAGTTTTATACCCATTTGTTAAAAAGCAAATTTCCAGTTGATTTTGTTGTAATAACACTGGCCCTTAGAATATTACCTCCTGTCACCGATGTGAGCCAAATACATGTACATGATCATGAATCTTGTCTAT